AGACGTACGGGGCTCTGTCCACTGACACACAGGAGTTCTTGCGCCTCCTAGCCACCTCAGCAGCCAAGAAAACATTCCGCCAGGGGAAGCTGACAACGACTACTACTCGGCTCACCGCACACTACTGGCAGCGCTGGTCTGTCATGCTGCAGCCTTCCCAGGCGACCTCTTACCTGAACAAGTCCAACCTCTCAGACGAGGCGGCGTTCCCCCAGGCTGCTATGGACCCTTGGGAACCTAGCCTAGGGGACCTATGGCAGCTGCTGGAGGATGAGTTGGAGGATGTGATGGCTCAATAGGTAGGACAGGTGTTGCCTACCTGCTAGACTACCGGTTGTTGGGCTTTGTTTGTTTGTTTGGTTCAGCCTGCCTAGCCTGCCTACCATGCCTTGCTGTACCCTGCCTGGCCCGCCCTGCCTTGCCCGGCCTGCCTACCCTCCCCTCCCCTATAGATGCTCTGGTTGCCGCTTGGGCCTGCCTTACATGTTTGGTCTCCTATGTGCCTAGGACTGTCTTGCATCCATTCCTATCATTCCTGTACCTCTATGAACCTATCAATGAAGGATTGCTTGAGAGAGAAATAGAGAGATGGCTTGGGACTAGTCCTTAGCCGTTTCCAGCAGTGTTTCTCTAGTATAAAGGCCCTAGTTCCATGCTTAGTGAGCTCATTCTTCACTGGTGACATCTGTTTACTCTCCAAAACCGGCGGCTCGCGCCGGCCGCCTTCGGCGTGCACGATCCGCCATGAGGAAGCCCAAGGCAAAGCCTTCTTCCGAGGGGGCCTGCAAGGGAAAGACACCAGCTACTCGGCAAGGATCCAGCACAGCCTCCCGTCCATCCAGCGTAGGACGGATGCGGTTGCGGATACAAGGTCAAGTGGGTCCTCTCGGGCAGAATCGGCAAGCCGCGCCAAAGCCCCGAGTCCGGGTCCGAGTGCAGCACCAGGAGAGCTTGGCACCAGCCCAATCAGTGGGAGGTAATGCTGCATCTCCTCTGCTGCCGACACCGCCGTGGATTGCTCTGAAAGCATCATCCCCCCGATCTCAACGCCCTGACGTGCCAAGCACACGTGAAGCTGGTCGAGGACGTAAGACAGAAGCGTCAAGCAAGTCCCCACGTGCATCACGCTCTGCTCGACGCGAAGAAGCCGCTCGACAGGAGGGCACTCACCCCACAGACTCCAATGCGCCTCCGAAACCACTGCGCGGGGAGTCGGCAGGGCAGGAGGTGTCAGCTGCTCCCACGAAATCGACGCCTGGCGGAAACCATAGAGAAGCAAAGGGCTTGAGCCCGCGGCCGGACCAGCATGAGGGGTTGGGGTGTGTGGAGGAGGCGACGGAGGAACAGGAGACACCGTAGGGCGAGGCGGTTGTGGCTGCGGTGGCAGGGGGAAGCGGCGTAGCGGAGACTGAGTTGGCGGTTGCTGCGGTGGCCGAGGCTACTACTGTTGCGGTGCATGAGGCAGCTGCGGCTGCCGTGACTGCTGCGGGGACTGTGGTGGAACCGGCGTCTGCTGGCGGGATTGCCGGCTACTCTTCGCATCTGCAATCCAGCTGGCCATGACCAGCACAGCGACCTCCCAGAGGTTGCGGTGGTCGCCTACGCGGACGACATCATGATCGTCGGGCCGAAGGGGGTGGCATATGAAGCATTCAACGCCATCACCAGGGATCTCGCCGCGGTTGGCCTACGCTGCAACGTCGCCAAGTCGTCAGCATGGAGTCAGACAATGTTAGAGGAGCACGACACCACACCAACCCTGGGACTGCAGCAAAGCCAGGAGGGGATTCAAGTCTCCGGGAGCCCAGGAGGTCTGCCTACGTTCTGCACCAACCAAGTCCAAGCCCAGCTGGAAGAAGCATCAATGACGCTACTGCTGGTGTCACAGCTACACCCGCAGAGTGCCATGCTTATCTTGTCCAGGAGCATCTCCTGCCGAGTATCATATTTTCTAAGGACAACACCAGCAGATGCCCTGGAGAGAGATAGGTGGAGAAGCTGGAGTGAGGCCCTGTTGGCGACGGCATTTGTAGCAGCAAAGGTCTGGGCCCCCGCAAGTGAGCTGGAGCGGAGCCTATTATGGCGCCAAGGGACTCTACCGGTCAGGCTGGGGGGACTAGGAATCATAGACCCCACCTCCGAGGCGCCTGCAGCCTATATTGCCTAAGTAACGGCGGCCCAGCAACTACTACGTGGGATGAATCTCCAAGAAGCCTACCTCCTAAGCCGAGTGGTGAGGCTCCTGGACCATGGTTGGACCCCGGACCCACCAGGGGTCAACCCTTTGACTACACTTGAAGCGGCATTACCCCCTACAGCACGAGTGGCGCTACAGGCGTTTCGAGAGCAGCCAGTCGAGAAGAGAAGCCTTCAACTTACCATGTCTCGCCACATTAATGAAGCACAGGCAGCAGAACTTTCTCTCTGTTTGCTTGCTTGTCCTCTCAGCCCTCTCCCAAGAATGCCGTGCGCATTTCCTCCCGTTACAGTACTGCGTGTCCGTCCGAGGCGGCACCGACGCGATTATCCACGCCGCGAGAGCATTCAATTGCGCAAACCCAGACGCGCTTATTCTGCAGGCAGACCTAGCGAATGCCTTCAACTTCATTAGCCACGCAGCAGTAGTCGGCGCACTTCGCGACACCGAACTCCAGAGCTTGATTCCCCTTGTCAAAGCATCTTACAGCAGGCCAGCCCAGCTGTTCCTTGACGCGGGGTTCAATTGCGAGGCACTGACTAGCGAGACAGGTGTGCGACAAGGTGACCAGCTCGGCCCGCTGGTATTCGCCGCTGGAATACACCCTATACACCAAGACAGCAGCGGCTTACCCATCGGTATTGTGCCTAGCATTCGCCGACGACATCACATTTCTGGGCCTGGCTTCTGAGTGTTCTGAAGCCTTGTGCCACTTCACAGCAGGACTATGCGACGTGGGACGTGGGAACCACAACCCAGGGAAGTGCGCCGCATGGAGCGCAGCAGCTACTGACCCCCAGCAGCTGCCCGAGGGTGTCCCGCTACGCACGGAGGGACTGAGAGTGTTGGGAAGCTTCATCGGCTCGACAGATGGTGCAACGGCCTTTCTACGGTCATCCCCGCTACCTCACCTAGCAAACATGGATCCCCAAGTAGCGGCGCTGCTATTGACACGGTGCATCTCCAGGCACATCTCCTACTTAGCACGCACCACACCTCTGTAATTGTTTCCCGAAGCAGAGTGGTCAAGATGGGGCCGGGCTCTGCTGTACACCCTTCTAGATGCTTGCGAGGTGCGCCACCCGAGGGGCGAAACAGAGGACGGACGAATCTGGGACCAAGCCTCACTCCCACCGAGCCTAGGCGGCCTGGGCCTCGCCGACCCTGCTGTAGAGGGCCGATACAGTTTCCTGGCGAGTTTTGTGCAGGCCCACATACTACTCGGCTGATTAGGGGGCCAAGCAGGGGCCACCCTGACAGCAGCACTAGACATCCCCGAAGCAGCTGACCACAGCCCCAACAAACTACGGAGGTGGATCCAGGACTGCAGGGACAGCCTCACACAGGAGGCGAGGGATCTTATCTCGGCGGAGCAGGCGAAACCCAAGGGCCAACTACAGCACCGTCTCGCTCTCCTAGTCCAAGGGGGCCGGAGTGCCGCCCAGATCACCGCATCCAGGCAGATGGAGCTGAATCCCCTGCTGGGCCACACTCAACGCCTCATGTCCCTCACAGGCTATGGGGCGGGGGACTGGCTCATGGCAATCCCCCACATGCCAGCCCTATGGTTATATCCCTGCCACTTCACGTTCGCCCTACAGTTCGGGCTCGGCCTGCCGCTCTCTGTGCCCGACTGCTGTGACTGCAGCAAACGAGTCCCCATTCTGGATAAGAGGCTGCCGAAACACTTGCTCCAGTGCGGTACTGGGCACGGTCGCACCAACACTTACAACAAGCTACGTGACGAGTGCATCCGCATGGCGCAGGATGCAGGATTTGCTGTGCACAAGGAGTGCACTGCCTTCAGCCCGGTGGACAACAAGAAGGCCGACTTGGCCTTTAGAGACGGGAGCTTGGGGGCGGTGTGGCTGGCAGATATCACAATCACAGATCCCATCAGCAAACAGGACGAGAGTGCAAGGAAGGGGAGGGGCTGGGCAGCACGGGAGGCAGCAGACAAGAAGATACCTCAGCAGGGCAGAGTTTGCTGGGCTTGTCCCCTTGGCAGTAGAAACCTACGGCTGCCCCTGCGACGAGGTGCCCACCTTCCTGAAGCTACTGGCGGATAAAGCTGCACGGAAAATCTTCAATGCGGACCCATCTACCTATCAGGCCGCGAAGATGCTCCATCAGTTCCGCCAGCGCTGGTCTATTGCCCTCCAGAGAGCTCAGGCAGTGAGTTTTCTCACAAAGCTGAACCTGGCAGCATGAGCAGAGAACCCCCCACTGGGGGGACCAGAGGGGGTGATGAACCCCGGTGACTGCTTCACAACACTAGAGGCACCTTATAGAGAGGGGGGGGGGGGGGGAGGGTAGGGGTGTGTGTTTGCTTGGTTAGGTGCTCCTTAGGTTTTGCTTGCTTGTCTTCGTGCTAGTTGAATCCTTCCCTAGAATCTGCATGTCTGTACCAGCCCCTATTATCAATACAAGGACCATTAGATAGAGAGAAAGAGAGAGAGAGAGAGAGAGAGAGAGAGAGAGAGAGAGAGAGAGAGAGAGAGAGAGAGAGAGAGAGAGAGAGAGAGAGGACTCTAGCCTCTGCCCTCTGCCCTCTGCCCTCAGCCCTCTGCCCTTGGCGTTCTAGCTATATAAGGGGCCTTCTTGGCCTCTCTTCTTCATTGTGTGGCGGCAGTAATTTTTTCGCTCGCGTCGGCCGCCGCTCGACAGCGCGGCCTTCGGCTGCGCGTGAGGGGTGGCAAGGGATCACACACGCGAGTTACTATAAGCACCGTCATACACGCAATGGCAGCATCAACACCGGCCTAAGCAACATTGGTAACAATGGGGCAAGAGGAGCCCGCGTCTACATGCGGTGAGCTCCAAGGGCGTGAAGAACGCCCGTCAGGGAGCGCCACAACTCCCGGACCACAAGCGGGCTTGCGCCGATCGCCGCGGCTCCAGATCCTGCGCGCAAGTGCCGCCTCAAGCCCCGGACAGCCTCGTCAAGCTGCCCCGCGGCAGCAACGCCACCCTCCGCGGGCGCAGCCAGCACGGGCGCCAGGAGCACCGCGAGCTGGTCTGCCGCGTCCAGGCAAGTGTCACGCTGGCGGCCACGGAAGGTCTCAGGAGGGATTACGGGGAGAGACGAATGAGCAACCACCTGAATCAGCAGCAGCGCGTGAAGACTCTCAGCGAGGCGATGGAGTTGGCCGAGTGTCGCCTCCGGAACACGAGTCTGCGGAGGCTGAAGCGCCTCCGCCAGGAACTAGAGCGGCTGATCTTCATCAGCGGGATGTGAGTACTGTGACGCCAACGCGCCGCCACCAGCGGCCACAAATTCCACCCCCGCAACAGGCGGAACCGGCGGCAAGCGAAGACGCTCTCCAGGGGCGGGCGCCAACGCAGCGGGAGCAGGAGCCGTTGGGATGTGAACCTGAGGAGGGGGTGCAGCGACAGGCGGTGGACTCAAGGGGAGCACAGGCTGGCGGGGAGCCTCTTGGGCCGGCGAGGCGCGCATCGAACTGCTCTGGCTCTGCGACGCCCTCTCCTCGCGTACCGCCCTCGACACTTCCCGCTGAAGATCTGCCATCGTCACCGGCGGGCGGTACCCCCCACCACCACCGCGCCCGCGGGGACCCCTCCAGTCCCCCTGACCACCGGGGTGAGCAGGCCAGTGAGACGGTTGCTGGTAACGCCGTGGAGAATCACGACGGCGACGAGATGACTTGCGATCCTGGTGGGGTGCGGGGGAATGAGGGCGAGACGGGCGGCGGTCAGGTGACGGGAGGCGTGACAACTGACCTGCCGGGGCCACCGGCGCCACAGCAGGCGCGGATTGCCCCGCCGCTGAGGGCGCAACCGACGGAGCCGGGCCGCCAGTGGTGGCGGACGCCGCCTTTGGCGACGAAACAGAAGCCGGAACAGGCGCGTCGGAGACAGAAGCAGGCGGTGCAATGGGCGCGCCAGGGACAAGAACCGGGGGATCAGCAAAACCCCCAGCAGGAGCAGGCACCGACGGCTTGACGAAGAGAGCCAGGGGAACAGGAGCTGCCGGCGGAGCGGACGGAGCAGCAGCAGGAACAGACGGGCCAGCCCCCGACACGGCAAGGGGATCCGCGGGTGCGTGGGGAAGAGTCCTTTCAGCGACTGTTGTCGCGGGCGTCGGAGCCGGCGGTACAGGGGGCTTCGACGGCATGGTCGCCTTTCCTGGCCCCGCCTGAGGCTGGGCGACCACAGCCGACCAGGCGGCAGCGCGCTCTGGCGATGGCCCAGATGAACCAGCAATCACCATCTGGAAGGCGGGGAGGTCGCGGGGCCAGGAGGCAGGTTACGAGCGGGTCAGGCGGAGGTCCGGAGAACGGGTATCAAGCGGCGGCGCGAATGGCTTGAACAGCTCTGGATGCAACTAATGAGGATGACGAGTTAAAGGACCCATCTTATAGGGAAGAATCCCTCCCTCCAAGCGAAGACGAGGGGATCGAGGACGAAGGCAGTACGAGGGAGGCAGCGGGAAGAGGAGTAGCGGGGGTAGGGCACTCGGCCACGCAAGCAGCACAGGCGGATCAGCGACCGTCCGATGTCGATCGAACGGGTGAAATTCCAACACCAATCCTACCAGTACGGACGGGCCGCGCTCGACGAAATCGGACCGCCACTATCAATGTCGCGACGCGCCAAACCACTCCGACTCCCCGCTATTTTTCGCCTGACGAACTGGCGAAGCGAGCAGACATGTTCGCAACCATCGCGAGCTGGGACATCGCAGCACTCTGCGACAGTCGTCAGCCTTCGCTGTCATGCCGTTTACCGCCGAATCCGTGCCAACTGTTCTCGCTGGCGCTACTGACACCGTTACTTCACCTATCGCGAAACCCCGAATCCGAAGCGGGTTGGCACCTGTTGCTGTTCCTCCCGCGCCTAACACTTTGCCAGACCTCGCCACAACGACCGAACTGGCCGGGGGTCAAAGCTCGGCTCCGAGCCTTTCAGCGCGGCGAATGGGGGCAGCTGTACCAGGACGCGGTCGACGCGGTCAACACCCCCACCGCCACGACACCAGCCTGACACGACCGGAGTCATCAGCCGAGCCGAGGGCCTAGCGAAACGTGGCAGCCTACACCAGGCCGTGCTGGCCCTGGAGTCAACACCGGTCTGCACCCCGAGCCCGGAAATTTTGGAAGAGCTACGTCAAAAGCACCCGCCAGCAGTACCCGAAGCAGTGACCTGGCCCGAGCCACCCGAGTCAAAACTGTCCATCACCCATGCTGAATTCGCCAAGCTTCTAGGAAGATGCGAGAACGGGGTGGGGGCCGGACCTTCGGGTACGACATTTGAGCACCTACGCGACGCGGCGATCACCAACGGAATGGTCAGCACCCATCCGCACGCCTTGGTCAATACCATGCTCGGAGGGAATTTGCCAGGCCCGGTCGCAAAAATTCTGACTGCGTCACGGCTCATAGCTCTGGCCAAACCTGGGGGAGGAGCCCGGCCAATCGCGATAGGCGAATGTTTGACAAGGCTGACAGCCAAGGCAGCCCTGATAGCCATGGGTGAAGCTGCCCGCGAACATTTCCTGCCAATTCAGTACGGCGTGGCAGTGCCAGGTGGAGCAGAGGCGGTAATCCACGCAGCCAGGGCATTCTTGGATGCCCGTCCCGACAGCCTGGTCCTCCAAGCCGATATTTCGAATGCATTCAACAGCATTTCGCGACATGCCATCGCTACTGCGTTACAGGAGCCCGGACTCTCGCCACTGCAGCCATTTGTAAAACTGACCTACGGTAACCCGTCGGAGCTGCTCCTCGACGCCGATTTCAACTGCGAACCGCTGCAAAGTGAATGGGGCGTTCGGCAGGGAGACCCTCTAGGCCCGTTACTGTTCGCGGAGGGAATTCACCCCACGCTCTGTGAGATTGCAGAGGCACACCCCAACGTGCTCTGCTTGGCGTATGCGGACGATGTCACCTTCCTGGGTGACACTTCGTGCACTGTAGCAGCTTTCACAGATTTCACAGCCAAGCTGGCACGTCTGGGCCTAACGCATAATCCGCAGAAATGTGCGGCCTGGAGCTCGATCACAGTCACACAAGCACAACTCCCACCCGGGGTGCCGGTTTCAAAGGACGGAGTACGGCTTTTGGGTAGCTACGTGGGGACGGACGCCGGAGCAGCTAAGTTCCTATCCGAACAGCTAGCCGAGATGACAAAGCCGCTGCCACTTATAGAACGTGCTGACCCCCAAGTAGCCGCGCTGCTCCTCACGCGATGCATTTCTAGACGAGTAGCCTACCTCATTAGAACGACACCGCTCCACCTACTCCCCCGCGACACCTGGAGCCAGTGGGGTCGGGACCTGCTCACTACCTTACTCACCTCCTGCGACATCCGCACGCCAACGTGCCGCACCGAGCAAGCGCGTGTGTGGGAGCAGGCGTTGCTGCCCACGTCGCTGGGTGGCATCGGCATTACAGACCCGCTCATAGAAGGGGTCTACGGTTTCACAGCGAGTTTCACTCAAGCGGCGCTATTCCTGTCCTCCCTGGCGCTAGAACCGGAGAATGCTTTGACGATCGCTCAGAACCACATGCTGCTGCCAAGAGACGACAGCACGCCGATGCATTCATGGCTCAAGGAGTGCGAAGCGGCCCTGCCACTAGACGCGCGCGAGATCCTGGAGAAGGAGCGGCTGGAGCGATCGGATATTAGGCTACAACATGTGCTCGGGCTAAAGGTGCACGGAAGCAGATACGCCGTTCAGGTCCGGGCAACCAGGCGCATGCGGCTGAACCCACTCTCAGGCCACACGCAGCGTATGTTCTCGCTGACTGGATATGGCACCGGCGATTGGCTGACCGCGATCCCCATTGAACCCACGAGACGGATAGGCCCCGTACACTTCGCCAATGCCGTTCGATTCCGCTTGGCCCTTCCCTTTTCAACCCCTAAGAACTGCGACTGCGCGGACAAGACCGCCATCACTGATCCCCGCCTGCCGAACCATCTCCTCCGCTGCGGCATGGGCAAACACCGCATCAACACCCACAACGAGCTACGGGATGCGTGCATTAGCATGGCGCAGCATGCAGGTTTCATTGTTCACGGCGAGACGGCCGTCCATTGCCCTATCGAGGAACAAACCGCCGACTTCACCTGGACAGATAGAAGCAGTGGGGCGGTTTATGTCTGTGATGTCACCATCACAGACCCCATAAGCACGAGGGACCCAGAGGCGCAGAAAGGCAGGGGATGGGCGGCACGGGAACAAGCGGATAAGAAAATCAAGCATTACGCCAACCGGCCGGAGACGGTTGGCTTTTTCCCATTAGCAGTCGACACCTATGGCTGCCCATGCGCGGAAGTACCAACCTTCCTGAAACTACTAGCGGACACAGCGGCCCGGCGCCACTTCAATGCCGACTCTAAATCCTTTTATGCCGCCAAATTCCTGCACCAGTTTCGGCAGCGATGGTCAGTGGCACTTCAGAGGGCCCAGTCAGTGGGCCTTCTACTCAAGTTGGGCGAGGCGGCAGCAGCAGAGAACCCGCCTGCAGGGGGGATCGGTCAAGAGTTGCACCTAGGGGACTGCTTCGCGGTGGTAGAGCCCTTTTTGGAGCTCTAGGTGAATAGTGAGTAGGTATGACTGCCTTGTTTGCTACGTCCATACCCTGCATGTTTGTACTTTGCTGCTATATCAATACAAGGACCATTAGAGAGAGAGAGAGAGAGAGAGAGAGAGAGAGAGAGAGAGAGAGAGAGAGAGAGAGAGAGAGAGAGAGATGGGTGGGGTTGTAGGATGTTCTTAGGATCTGGTTTGCCTGCTAGGTTGTTCTTTTAGTCTCTGGTGTTGCCTGTTTCTATGCTGCCTTGGTTGTTTGTACTCACCCGTTATATCAATACAAGGACCGCTTGAGAGAGAGAGAGAGAGAGAGAGAGAGAGAGAGAGAGAGAGAGAGAGAGAGAGAGAGAGAGAGAGAGAGAGAGAGAGAGAGAGACTGCTTCGCAGTCATCGAGCCCCTTGTGGAGTTGTAGTCTGTGTTTGTTGGACCCTTATATTTGTTGCTAGCCTCTGACTCCATACTTGCATGCCTGTACCCTTCACATATTCAATACAAGGACCATTAGAGAGAGAGAGAGAGAGGCCTCCCTGGGCCTCCCTCTTCTCATTATTCATTTGGGTTTCAGAACACCGGCGCTCGTTCGAGAGAGCGAGAGAGAGAGAGGGTCCTGGCCTCTCCCCTCTGCCCTCTGCCCTTAGCCCTTAGCCCTTTGCTTCCTAGCTATAAGAGGCCTCCCTGGGCCTCCCTCTTCTCATTATTCATTTGGGTTTCAGAACAACGGCGCTCGTTCGAGAGAGCGAGAGAGAGAGAGGGTCCTGGCCTCTCCCCTCTGCCCTCTGCCCTTAGCCCTTAGCCCTTTGCTTCCTAGCTATAAGAGGCCTCCCTGGGCCTCCCTCTTCTCATTATTCATTTGGGTTTCAGAACACCGGCGCTCGCGCCGGCCGCCTTCGGCGGCCGACGCTTCGCGAGCGCGGCCTTCGGCCGCGTGCGAGGTGTGACAAGATCAGTGGGAAAGACAATTTTATAACGGAGGCAATACACAACATGGCAAGCTCCGCTACGACCTAGGACGACAAGAAGGAAATCATGGCGGACGCTACATCTGATCCGCGTCAAGGACGGCGAGAAGACCCGTCAACGAGCGATGAAGCTCGCGCACCACCACTGTGGTTGCGCCGATCAAGTCGACTGCAGTCCCTGCGCGCAAGAACCGGCGCAAACCACGGACTGCAGTCCCAAGCTGTACAACGCCGCAACTCCACCCCGCGCGAGAGCAGCCAACACGGGCGCCAGGAGCTCGCCCAGCCGATCAGCGGCATCCAAGCACTCGTCCCGAGGGCCTCCATCCAGAGGAACACCCTGGGAGAGCGCTGCGTGACCATACACCTGAATCAGGTGAACAGCCCGCAGGCCCTCAGAGAGGCGCCACAACTGCCCTAGAGACGCCTCAGACACCACGGCTGATGGAGATGGCCCCACCAGTGTCTGCTGAGGTAGCACAGCAGCCGGAGGAGGAGGAGCCACGGGCAGTAGAGATGGATACTGCGCCATCACCGGTCCTCCTCCTGCGGTCACGAACTCCATACCCGCCACAGGAGGAACCCACGGCAGGCGCATACGGTTCCCAAGAGCAGCAACAGATGCAGAGGGAGCAGGAGGAGGAGGAACGGCTGAATGGGGAAGAGGAGGTGCAGGCGCATAGGGCGCAGCCAGAGGAAGGGACGCATGCGCTGGAGCGACGCGCGGCGAGTTGCTCTGGCTCGCCTGCCCGTTTCGCTCCTGTCGCACCGCATCAGAAACAACACGCTGTGAATCAGCCATCGTTACTGGCTGATCATATGCCCAGCCACCCCCACGACCGCCCCCCCCCCCCCCCACCAGCCACCACAACCGCCACGGGATGCAGCCCAGTTCGCCTGGGACCCACGGCGCCGAGGAGAATCGTGTCGCCACCGCGTCGTCTCCCGCTCGTCACGTGGCGCAGGGGAGTGAGGCCGATGCTGCCGGCGGCCCGGAGATGGCTGACACTGAGCAGGGGGAGCAGCAGCGAGCGGCGCAGGAACAGGAGCCGCCTGGACGTCCGGGGGAGGCACCGATACCGCCGCAATCGGTAGGACGGGAGCTGGCTGCGCAACGCCCCCCCCCCCCACCTCAACTGGGCCCGGGCCGCCAGTGGTGGTGGACACCGCCGGCGGCGACAAACCAACGGGAGCGAGCGGTGCAGCGTGGGCGACAGAGGCAAGTGGCGCAGCGAGGATCGGGGTGCCCGGAGGGGCATCAACAACGACGAGGGGAGCCGGAGACTCAACAGGAGCAACAGGAGCAGGGCCTGCAGGAGCGTGCGCGTGAGGAGCAGCCGCAGCGGGAGGTTGAGGCTCTGCAACAGGTAGAGCCGGCTTTGGTGGATTCAAGGCCTCGGGCACGGAGGGAAGCGGTTTTGGTGCAGACGGCAGGGGCGGCCTCGTCGAGGCAGCCACCGAGCCAGACACTGCCGGCGAACTACCGGAACCTGCAGACGCAACGACAATGCGCTCTGGCTCAAGCCAGCCTTCAATCACCATCGCGGAGAGGACGGGGTCGAGGCCGCGGGGGACGAGTAGCTAGAGGTGTGGGCGGCGGACCGGAGAACGCTTTCCAGGTAGCGGGACGGCTGGCTTTAACAACAATAAACGAGGATATCAATCTGGAGGAGCGGAGGAGCCGGAAGTCCTTAGTAGCAGCAGTGAAGAGGAAGATTGCGATCGAGAAAGGGAAGAAGCTGCGAGCAGAAGTCGAACTGGGCAGCGGAGAGCAGAGGAGTCACATCGAGTTGAGGGTGAGCCGCACGATGGCGATCGTACGGCTGGAAATCCAACCCAATCTCCAACTCCCTCATCGAGCCGCGGCCGTACCAATCGGACCGCGAGGTGTCAGGTCAGCGTGGCGCCTGTGGTTCCAATTTTGCGCTATTTCTCGCCAGAGGAGCTGGCGACACACAATGAGCGGTTCGCATCGCTTGTGAACTGGGATATTGCCCCGCTCTGCGACAGTCGCCAAACCCTCGCTAGCCCGCAGATTGCCGCCAAACCTGTGTCAGCTATTTTCGCTATGCCTACTGACACCACTCTTGCATCTATCGCGTAACCCGGGCTCTATCGCAGGCTGGCGCCTGCTGCTTTTTCTCCCGCGTCTCACACTTCGCCAGACCTCGCCAAGACGCCCGGATTGGCCGAAAATCAAAGCACGACTCCGTTCGTTCCAGCGTGGCGAATGGGATCAGCTGTACGCTGAAGCAACCGAAGCAATCAATGACCCAACCCCGCCACGACACCAACCCGATGACACAGGTGTCATCAGCAGAGCGGAGGGACTGGCGAAGTGCGGGAGTCTATGCAAAGCGGTGTTGGCACTGGAGTCAACCCCAGTATGCACGCCCAGTCCATTGATCTTGGACGAACTTCGACACAAACACCCACAGGCAGGACCCGAGCCGCTGACGTGGCCCCAACACGACGAACTTCAAAGTCTGTCAATTCCATACGTTGACTTCCACAAGCTGCTGGGCCGATGCGAGAATGGGGTGGGTGTGGGGCCATCTGGCACCACATTTGAACACCTGCGCGACTCGGCAATTACGAACGCATTGGTCTGCACCCACCTTCACGCCTTGGTTAATACCATGATGGGGGGGCAACTGCCTCAGCTTGTAGCGGACCTGCTCGCGTCATCCCGCCTAATTGCGTTGGCTAAGCCAAAAGGCGGGGCCCGACCAATTGCAATTGGCGAGTGCTTGACCCGCCTGGCAGCAAAGGCCGCCTTGTCAGTAATAGGAGAAGCAGCACGGGAATTTTTCCTGCCGCTGCAATTTGGGGTGGCAGTTCCAAGCGGAGCAGAAGCAATAATCCACACCGTCCGGGCCTTCACCGACGCTCGACCTGACACACTGATCCTGCAAACCGACCTATCTAACGCTTTCAACAGTATCTCGCGACAAGCAATCGTGACTTCTTTACAGGACGATGCGTTACAACCACTACTGCCATTAGTTCAACTCACATACAGCAACCCGTCACTACTGTACCTGGATGCCGGCTTCAACAGTGCACCTTTAGCAAGCGAGCGAGGCGTCCACCAGGGAGACCCATTAGGCCCGCTGCTTTTCGCAGCCGGAATACACCCAGCCCTACGTGCGACGGCCGCCGCTTACCCCGGCATGCTCTGCCTAGCCTATGCCGACGATGTCACGTTCCTAGGTGCCGCCGCCGAGACAACCGAAGCTTTCGCCCATTTTACCGGACAGTTAGAGCTCGTAGGCCTCCAGCATAATCCCGGGAAGTGTGCCGCATGGAGTAGAACCCCCCTAGACAGCACGGTGCACCTACCCTCAGGGGTTCCTTTTTCTGATGACGGCGTTCGGCTATTAGGCAGTTTCATAGGCACGACGGATGGCGCAACCTCTTTCATTACGGGACAGCTCACAGCATTGGCAAAACCGCTCCCACTGCTAGAACGAATGGACCCACAGACCTCTTCTCTGCTCCTCACACGCTGCATATCTCGCCGCGTAGCATACCTTATGCGGACCACACCCCTCAACCTTCTCCCTGACAGCAGCTGGTCACAGTGGGGACGGGATCTACTCGCCACCCTTTTAGCCTCATGCGGCATCCGCTATCCAACTAGTGTTACTGAGCAAAACCGGGTCTGGGAACAGTCCTCACTACCCCCCTCCCTGGGAGGGATCGGCCTTACTGACCCCACTGTCGAAGGAATCTATGGCTTCCTAGCAAGTTTTACTCAGGCAGCCGTGCTCCTCTACTCACTCCCCTTAGAACCTAACGACATCCAGACATGTGCCAAGAACCTTATGCTACTACCACGAGACACTAGCACGCCTCTTCACGCGTGGCTGACAGCCTGTGAGAGGGCTCTGCCAGCAGACACCCGTGAGATCCTAGAAGCGGAGAGATTGGAGCCAAAGGGTGTGAAGCTGCAACATGCCCTCGCAGTAAAAGTCCAAGGGAGGAGATATGCGAGACAGGTACAGGAGACCCGGCGGATGAGTCTCAACCCGCTATCAAGGCACACACAGCGCATGTTCTCCCTTACCGGCTATGGCACGGGAGACTGGCTGACTGCTTTACCGATTGAAAACACCCGCCGCGTCGCCCCCGAGCACTTCGCCAATGCTGTCCGCTTTCGCCTAGGCCTACCTTTCTCCACGCCCGCTAAGTGTGACTGTTCAGACCACACAGAGATCACCGACCCACGGCTGCCAAACCACCTTTTCCGCTGCGGTACGGGCAAGCACAGGATTAACACCCATAACGAGCTTCGGGACGCCTGCATCACTATGGCACAAGACGCAGGTTTTATTGTCCATGGGGAATCTGCCGCTTACTGCCCAATCGAGGAGCAGACTGCTGATATCACTATGCGGGACAAGCGCTCAGGCGCGGTGTACATCAGTGACGTCACCATCACCGACCCCATCAGTACCAGGGACCCGAATGCAACCAAGGGAAGAGGATGGGCGGCAAGGGAGATGGCGGACAAGAAAAAGAGGCACTACGCCAACCGGCCTGACACGGTTGGTTTCTTCCCGCTGGCGGTGGAGACCTATGGGTGTCCATGTGCAGAGGTTCCAGAATTCCTGAAGCTATTGGCGGACACGGCTGCTCGGCGTCATTTTAACGCCCAACCCCACTCATATCATGCAGCCCGGTTCCTCCACCTCTTCAGGCAGCGGTGGTCTGTCACTCTTCAGAGGGCCCAGTCGGTAGGATACTTAATCAAATCCAGCCAAGCGGCGGTAGCAGAAAACCCCCCCGTGGGTGGGGTACAATCCGAGCTTCATCTTGGGGATTGTTGTGCTGTGATAGAGCCTCTTCTGGAGGTGTAGAAAGGCAGTTGTGTGTAGTTAGATATTAGTTTGTGCTTGTTGTTTTGAGTCTTAGCATCCATAGCTTGCATGTTTTGTACCCCCTTTCATATATCAATACACGGACCATTAGAGAGAGAGAGAGAGAGAGAGAGAGAGAGAGAGAGAGAGAGAGAGAGAGAGAGAGAGAGAGAGAGAGAGGATCATAGCCTCTGCCCTCTCCCTTTAGCCCTCTGCCCTCTCCTCCCTGAGCTATAAAGAGGCCTCTCTAGGCCACTTCATCTCATTGTTCTGTGTGGTGCAGAATTTTTCACTCGCGCCGACCGCCTTCGGCGGCCGGCGCTCGACAGCGCGGCCTTCGGCCGCGCGTGAGGGGACGACAAGTGCTCCAGGCGCAACTACCACCACTATAGCGTCGGCATACACACAAGGCAACAACAGGCAGCACCAACACGGGCCTACAATGAGACAAAGCGAGCAGACAAACGGAGAGGAGGCTCTCGCGGACGCTACAACTGGTCTGCGTCAAGAACTGCGAGCAACCCCGTCAGCGAGCGATGCAGCTCCCGCACCACAGCTGTGCCTGCGGCGATCACATCGGCTGCAGACCCTGCGCGCAAGAATCACCGCAAACCACGGACTGCAGTCCCCAGCTGCCCAACACCCGCAGCTCCTCCCCTCGCGGGCGCAGCCAGCACGGGCGCCAGGAGCTCCGTGAGGCGATCTGGGGCGTCAAGACACTCGTCTCGGGAACCGTCATCCAGAGAGTTCCCACGGGAGAGACCCGCGTGACCATACATCTGGATCAAATGAACCGCCCGTAACCCCTCAAAGAGGCGCCACAGCTGCCCGAGCGTCGCCTCCGGGACCTCGGCCACTGGAAGGGGACCCACCAAGGCCTGGAACGGCTGGAGAGCTCCAGCGGCAGGCGGAGCGGAACGACGAGAAGCGGAACGCGGAGAAGCGGCCGCCGACGATGCAGCCGCAGGAGGAGCAACAGGAGGAGGAGCCGCAGCCAGCGGCGCTCCCTGCGGCGAGCTGGGGGGACCCGCCTGCCCAGCCCTCTCCCTCCGCATCTCCAGCGAGACGACCCGCTGCAAATCGGCCATCGTCACCGGCTGATCGTACCCCCACCCCCCACCGCAGCCGCGCCCCCCCCCCCCCCCCCAGCCGCCGCGACCGCCACGATGGGCAGGCCAGTTTGCCTGCGAACGCTGACGCCGAGGAGAATCGCGCCGGCGACGAGTTGACTCCCGCTCCTCGCGGGGCGCAGGAGAGTGAGGCCGGCCCCCACGGCGGTCCGGGGACGGGGGACGACGCTGCTGCGAGGTCGCAGCCACTGTCTGAACCCCTGGCACCGAGGGAACAGTCTCCCCAGATCCCGCAACCGGGGCCGGGCCGCCAGTGGCGGCGGACGCCGCCAGCGGTGACGAACCACCAGCAAGGATCGGCTCCGCGGGAACAGGGGCAGCAGACGGCGCAGCCGGGACGGGTGGGTCAACAGACGCGGCAACAGGCAGGGGGAGGTCACGGGCAGACCCAGGGGCCAGTGGGATAGGCACGGAGCACGCAAGCTCCTGAGCAAGCACCGGATGCTCCGCCCCAGCAGGCGAATCCGCAGCAGGCGCCGCCGGTCGAACAGCAGGAGCAGCAGGAGCAGACGACGGCGGCGCAGGAACAGACGACATCTCCGCGGAGGTCACAACAGAGGCAGATGAGGCCGACCACGCACGCGCAGCAAATGCCCCGTCAAAGGGTGGGGGTGGGTACGAGAATTCGTCCCCGAGCGCCGCAGGCATCACGAGGCAGAGGCAGAGCGGGGCAGCGGAGTGGTGGAAGACGAGGAGGCAGAGCCGGCAGGGGGAACACGCGACGAACGGGCGCAAGCGCTTACGCCAGGGCTGCAGAGAGGATTCTACAGGGGGCCGCAGGGGGCGGCGAGGAAGCTGCTAGCGACGAGGAGGAAGAGGAAAATGAGATTATTGAAAGTGACGCGGGTGACCCCGAATTGAACCCTGAAAGAGAGGGGGTCTTGGGCGAAGAGACGGAGGAGGAAGAAGAGCTCCTCCACAATGGAGCAGAATTCCCCACCCAACCCAGCCGAGGCGCCCCGGCGGGAAGACGGGGCACATTTCAAAACCGAGCCGCGGGGGGAAATCCAACATTGGGGGGAACCCGAGCCGCGGCGAGAGATGAAGTCAACTTTGGCGCGGCCAATAACAACTCAACAGCACCAACTCCCGCGCCGCCCATGCTCAAGCCTGACGACCTGGCGAAACGAATCGACCTGTTTGCTCAGGTCGCAAGCTGGGAACTGGACCCACTCCGCGACAGTCGCCAACCGCCACTCGCCCGCCACCCACCAAAGGACCTTCGCGAGTCCTTCGCAGTGTGCTTACTAACCCCCCTGCTCCACCTGGCGGCCAATCCCGAGTCACCAGCGGGGTGGAGGTTACTGACCTTCCTCCCGCGAATTCTACTGCGCACTTCGTCAGCACGGAAACCAGACTGGGGGGCGATGATGAATCGCCTCCTGCGATTTCGCCAAGGGCTCTGGGCCAGCCTGTACGACGAAGCGGTCGAGGCGATTTCCCTCCCACCCCAACCTCGCCACGCACCTGACACCACGGGGATCCTCGCTAGAGCGGAGGGACTGGCGAAACGTGGTAACTTGTCCAAATCGCTACAGTCCCTCCAGGCTACCCCAGTTTCGCCTGCCTCAACTGAAGTACTGGGGGCACTCGCGGCAAGGCATCCTCTAGCCCAGCAAGCACTACCAGACTGGATCAACACCTACCGCACCGAAAACTCCCCCGCTATCGAAGCAAAGGACTTCAGGCGATTAATCGCCAAACTGCCGAACGGAGTAGGAGCAGGGCCCTCCGGAACCACGTTTGAGCAGATTAGGGACGCGGCCCTGGGAAACCAGGAGGTGTTTACTCACCTGTTAGCTCTCACTAATACGGCTCTAGCGGGGAAACTGGGAGGAAGCGCGACCGAGCTCCTCACAGCCTCCCGCCTCTTGGCCTTCACGAAACCGCAAGGAGGGACGAGGCCGATTGCGGTAGGCGAGTGCATGCTCCGAATAATCGCGAAGGCAGCCCTTTTCTTGACAGCACCGGCCGCTAGAGGGCATTTCGCTCCGCTCCAGTTCGGGGTGGCAATAGCGGGGGGGATCGAAGCAGCTATCCACACGGCACGAACGTACCTAGAACTTAGCCCGGACGCGGCGACGCTGCAGATCGACCTTGCCAACGCCTTTAACGCCGTAGAACGAGGGGCGGTGTTTGAGGGCCTCAGGGACGAAGCATTTGAATCCCTTATTCCGCTCGTCCGCCTCTCCTACGGGACCCCATCACCCCTCTTCCTTGACGCTGACTATGCCGCGGCCCCCCTACAGAGCGCCAGAGGAGTCCGCCAAGGGGACCCGCTTGGTCCCCTACTATTCGCGGCTAGCATTCAGCCGTGCCTTGCGGCCACCGCAGCGGCACACCCAACGGTGGTCCTACTCGCATACGCCGACGACATCACCCTGCTCGGTGATGCCCAGCCTGCACCGCCGCCTTCAACCACCTCACCTCAGCCCTCGCCGCCATCGGCCTGGTACACAATCCCGCCAAGTGCGCCGCATGGTCCGCCTCACATATCGACCCCACCGCCGTGCCACCTGGCATCCCCATCGCGGACGAGGGACTACAGATCTTAGGAAGCCCCATCGGCACTCCCCAGGGGTGCGCCAGCGCGGTTAGAGAACGACTTGCAGCGGCAGCGGAACCACTCCCCCTCTTAGCCCAGATGGACCCCCAGCTAAGCCTCCTCCTCCTCACTCGCTGCGTCAGCCGCCGCGCCTCCTTCTTAGCCAGGACCACCCCACTAGAAGTGCTACCCGATGCGGAGTGGTCGGCATGGGGGGAACGGCTGGTACTGACTTTCCTGAACGCGGCCCACATCGTGACTCCAAGGAGCGACGCAGAGAGAAGGCGGATATGGCGGCAGGCGGCGTTGCCAGTAACCTTAGGGGGACTCGGCATCACAGACCCCGCGGTGGAAGGGACCTATGCCTACCTGGCGTCAGTAATCGCCACCTCCCACCTCCTCCACTCCCTGGCTGACACACTGCACCCCGTCATAGCCAACCTACTGCCCTTACTAGACCCCACCCCTGGCTCTGCCCACGCCCTTCCAGCCCGCCTCGCAACAGCAGAAGCAGCCCTCCCACCGGAAGCACTAGAAGCCTTACAGACGGGGAGGTCGGACCCCAAAGGCCTCAAATGGGCTGCAATTTTTGTGTGGTGGCTGCAATCTGGTCGGCCGCGTCAAGACAGTCGTCCTGCGGGCCGTCAAGCAGAGATTCCGCCGGAACAGGCGGAAGAGACCCGTGCGCCAGGGACTGCACAAGCAGGAGCGCACGGAGGCTCTCCGAGAGCCTCCACAACTGGCCGAGAGTCACCTCCGGAACTTCAGCCCGCGGGGGAAGGAGCTCCTCCGCCAGGGAGGGAAGCTGTAGCCGAGGAAGCCCACCACTATGAGCAGGGGCCGAGGGAGCCGGCAGTGACACCGCCGGCGCCGGAGCAACCACGGGGCGAGTGACCGGAAGGGGAGCAGACGGCGTTGGAGCCGCACGCCGCGAGCTGTACTGACTCGCTGGGCCGGCCTGACCGTTGCGAAACGCCTCAGTCACAATCTGTCGCACGTCCGCGATTGTTGCTGGCGCGTCCAGCCACCCGCCACGCCCGCGACCGCGACCTCCCCTCCAACCACCTTGGTGCGCATGCCAGTTCGCCTGCGGCTGCCTCCGGCGAGGGGAATCACGCCGTCGACGAGACACATCTCGCTCATCTCAATGAGGACGGGAGTTATGCTGCTGCACTACCGGAGGAAGTGCATGGGCAGACGAGGAAGCCGCGGGGAGCGGAGGGGCAGATTTCCCGCCCAGCGCATCTTGGGATGCAGCAGGAGACGCCACGGGTAGCGCCACAGGCGCAGGAGGAGGCGCCTCGCCAGACGCAGGTGCCACCCCAGCAACAGCCGCCGTCTCAGTAGGCGACGGCAACACCGGAACGCGAGGCGCGGGAGAGGGCGCCGCGCCTGGAGCAGGAAGATGCGCCACGTCAGCCTCAGGCGCCAGAACGAAGGCAGGTACAGGCGCCGGCGCCATCACGCGCGGTTGGGCGGCCACACCCGCCGACTCTCGTCCAAAGTCGACTACCATGGAGCACGCGTGACCAGGAGAACCCACGACAGACATTGCCGCAACAGGGGCAACCGGCGCCGACCGCACCGGCGAGGCAAGCGCAGTTGACGCCACACCAAACGGCTGCGGCGAATACGGCGCCGGGGAACCGCCGTCAACCGCCACAGGCATTACGAGGAGGCAGAGGCGGGCGGCAGCGAGCGGCGGGGCGTGGTCAAGGCTGGGAGAACGGCTTCCAACAGGCGGCGAGGCTAGCTTTAACAGAAGCGGATGTCAACAACGTGGCAGAGGATGAAGCAGAAGAGGTACAAGACCCCACCTTTATCGCCCAGCCAGCCGCAGCATCAACCACTGAAGGAAGTGGAGGGGATGAAGGTGAAACTGCCCCGGGAGTTGAGAGTCGAGTGAATGAGGCAACAACCCCCCGACCCGCATCTGCACAAATTGGAATTGGGGGGGAACCAAACCCAGACGCACCCCTCACCACCACACCATCAACCCGCCAATTTTCGCCAGAGCAGCTGGCGAAGGACATGACCCGCTTCAATGAAATTCGCACCTGGGACTTGACACCACTACGCGACAGCCGTCAGCCCCCCCTCTCCCGCAAAATTCCGCACGAAATCCGCACCAGTTTCGCAAACGCGCTACTGACACCCCTGCTGCACCTCGCACGCCACCCTGACTCCGTACCGGGTTGGCGCCTGTTACTCTTTATTCCCCGCCTAATCCTTCGCCAGGCGAAACCAGGGAAGCCTGATTGGCTCGCAGTGAAGTTGCGACTTCGTCAGTTTTTCAAGGGCGAGTGGGAACAACTGTACGAGGCAGCCGTGGCAGCGGTCAACTCCCCCCCAGCGCCACGTCACCAGCCGGATGAGTTGGGGAAACGGGCCAGAGCAGAAGGACTTGTTCGAAAGGGCAGCCTTCGGCGGGTCATCCTAGCCCTCGAATCTACACCCGTGGCAGATCCAACACCGGAGATACTGGATTCACTTAAATCCAAGCACCCACCCACGCCACCTGGACACATTGACTGGACACCAACGGATGAGGCCCACGTGGTGACCATCACCTCAGCTGCATTCGCGAAAATCCTATGCCGCTGCGAAAACGGAGTGGGGGGAGGGCCGTCGGGGATGACGTTCGAACACCTCAGGGATGCAGCTATCGCCAACGCAGCCGTTACCACCCACCTCCACGCCCTCGTCAACACCATACTCCAAGGGAAACTCCCCGAAGAGGTGTGCTCCTTGCTCACGTCCTCCCGCCTCATCGCTCTCGCCAAGCCAGAAGGAGGGACTCGGCCTATAGCCGTAGGAGAGTGTGTCCTACGCCTCGCGGCAAAATCGGCACTTTCCTCACTAGCAGAAGCGGCACGAGCACATTTTCTCCCACTCCAGTACTGCGTCGCCGTCCAGGGAGGTAGCGAGGCGATAATCCACGCCGCCAGATCATACATGAGCACGCACAGTGACGCCACGATCCTCCAGGCGGATCTCTCAAACGCCTTTAATAGCATTAGTCGCGAGGCAATCGTAGCGGGCCTATGTGGAAATACGCTAGAAGGGATCCTCCCCCTAGTCCACTCCTCTTACGGCGCGCCGTCAGAGCTATTTCTCGACGCCGGCTTTAATAGCCCTCCCATATCCAGCATTACAGGGGTCCGCCAGGGCGACCCCCTCGGGCCTTTGCTCTTCGCCGCGGGCATCCACCCGTCCCTCGCCTCGATCGCAGCCGCCTTCCCGAGCCGCCTCGCCTCGCCTTCCCGCGAGAGAGAGAGAGAGAGAGAGAGAGAGAGAGAGAGAGAGAGAGAGAGAGAGAGAGAGAGAGAGAGAGAGAGAGAGAGAGAGAGAGGCATAGTCCCTTAGTCCCTTAGCCTCTCAGCCTCTCAACCTCCCCTACCCCAGCTATATAAGGCCGTGGGTCTGGTGTGTGTCTCATTATTCAGTTGTGGGTTCATTTCTTCTAACCCAGCGGCTCGCGCCGGCGGCCTTCGGCGGCCGACGCTAGACAGCGCGGCCTTCGGCCGCGCGCTAGGGGCGGCAAGTGTCAACAGACACAAACGGCTATAATCAGGGGCATACACGCAATGACAAGGTCATCTGCCTAGGAAACACACGAAACAACAATGGAGTAGGAGGGGGAGGGCTCTAGAACTGATCAGTGTCAAGAACAGCAAGGAGCCCAGTCAGAGAGCGGTGGAGCTCCCGCACCACCGCCATGCTTGCGCCGATCACATCGGCTGCAGTCCCAGCGCGCAAAAAGCGCCTCAGGCCTCGTACAGCTGTCCTCAGCTGCCCAACGCCCACAACTCCTCCCCTCGCGGGTGCAGCCAACACGGGCGAGTTCAGTTTACTCCCCAAAAACCGGCGGCTCGCTCGAGAGAGAGCGAGAGAGAGAGAGAGAGAGAGAGAGAGAGAGAGAGAGAGAGAGAGAGAGAGAGAGAGAGAGAGAGAGAGAGAGAGAGAGAGAGAGAGAGATGGCTTGGGGTTAGTCCTTAGCCGTTTTTCACCCTCTCCTGCCTAGTCCTTAGTCCTTAGACGTTTCCAGGGCCGTTTCCCTAGTATAAAGCACCTAGTGAGGAGTCCTTTGAGCTCATTCTTCACTGGTGAGTTCAGTTTACACGGAGAGAGAGAGAGAGAGAGAGAGAGAGAGAGAGAGAGAGAGAGAGAGAGAGAGAGAGAGAGAGAGAGAGAGAGAGAGAGAGAGAGAGAGACGCGCAGGAAGAAGCAGCGGAACGCGTGGGAGAGGACTACGAGGAGGCCGAGCCCAAGGAGGGAACGCGCGACGAACCGGCGCAAGCACCTACGCTAGGGCGGCCGAGAGAATCCTACGAGCAGGCGTAGGAGGCGGCGAGGAAGCTGCTGGAGAGGAGGAGGGCCTGGAATCGGAGAATGAAGAAAGTGACAGGGGTGACCCAGGTTTTATCCCAGAAAGGGAGGGCATTCTGGATCCAGAGTCCGAGGAGGACGACGAGGACGAATTGTTCCTCCGCCATGGAGCTGAATTTCCCAGCCAGCAGCCCGAGCCGCGCCTGCAATTCAAACCCCAACAAGAAATCGAACAGAGGGGGGAAACCGAGCAGCAGGGGGAAATCAAGCCGCGACATCAAACACATTCAACCATGCAGCAGCCAATGGGAACCCAGCAACCACAACCCCCACCCCACCTATGATCAAACCTGAGGACCTGGCGAAACGGCTAGACCTTTTCGCCCAAGTCGCGGGCTGGGACCTCGACCCACTCCGCGACAGTCGCCAACCGCCCCTCGCCCGTCACCCGCCAAAGGACCTTCGCGAGTCCTTCGCAGCATGCCTACTGACCCCACTGCTACACCTTGCAGCCAATCCAGAGTCAACACCAGGCTGGAAGTTACTGACATTCCTCCCGCGAATATTACTCCGCACTTCGTCAGCACGCAAGCCTGACTGGAGCGCGATGATGAATCGCCTGCTCCGGTTTCGCCAGGGCTTCTGGACCAGCCTCTACGACGAAGCCGTCCAAGCAACCACACTGCCTCCCCAACCCCGCCACGCACCTGACACCACGGGAATTCTCGCCAGAGCGGAGGGCCTGGCGAAACGGGGTAACCTGTCAAAATCACTCCAGTCCCTCCAGGCTACCCCAGTTTCGCCGGCTTCGCCTGCAGTGCTGGACGCACTCACGGCAAGACACCCCCCAGCCCAGCAGGCACTGCCTGACTGGGTGCACGATTTCGCCACCGAGAATCCGCCCACTATCGACGCTCGCAACTTCAGGCGACTCATCGCAAAGCTCCCAAACGGAGTAGGGGCGGGGCCGTCAGGAACCACCTTCGAACACATTCGTGACGCGGCCCTGGGGAACTAGGAGGTCCTCACACATCTCCTCACTCTAACTAATACAACGCTGGGGGGGGAAGGTGACCGCGGACGCAGCAGAACTCCTCACAGCCTCGCGTCTGTTAGCCTTCACGAAGCCTCAAGGAGGTACCAGGCCGATCGCGGTAGGCGAGTGCTTGCTGCGCATAATTGCTAAAGCCACACTCTTTCTGGCTGCACCGGCTGCGCGAGGGCACTTCGCCCCCCTTCAGTTTGGCGTGGCGATAGCCAGAGGGATTGAAGCAGCCATCCACTCAGCACGCACGTACCTGGAAGTGAATATGGAGGCGACAGCGCTGCAGTTAGACCTAGCCAACGCCTTTAATGCAGTAGAGAGGGCGGCGGTGTTCGAAGGACTGAACAATGAGGCCTTGGCGAGCCTCCTTCCCCTGGTCCGCCTCTCCTACGGGGCCCCATCCTCACTCTACCTCGACCAGGACTTCGGCGCGGCCCCACTACAGAGCGCCAGAGGAGTCCGACAAGGGGACCCGCTAGGCCCCCTTCTCTTCGCGGCGAGCATTCAACCGTGTCTCACGGCCACAGCGGAGGCACATCCACAGGTGGTGCTGCTCGCCTATGCGGACGATATCACCCTACTGGGCAAGGCGTCAGCCTGCACCGCGGCATTCACTCACTTGAGGTCCGCACTCGGCAACATCGGCCTAGAGCACAACCTGGCCAAGTGCGCAGCCTGGTCTGCCTCATCGGTCAACCCCTCCTCCCTGTCGCTGGGCATCCCCATCTCAGGAGAAGGCATGCAGATACTAGGCAGCCCCATCGGCACTCCCGAGGGCTGCGCCAGCGCGGTTAGAGGGAAGCTCGAGACAGCACCTTTGGAGGTGCTGCCCGACGCGGAGTGGTCAGCATGGGGAGAGCAGCTGCTTCTTACCTTCCTGGAGGCGGCCCACATCGTAACACCAAGAAGTGACGCGGAGAGGAGGCGGATCTGGCGGCAAGCGGCGCTACCAGTGACACTAGGTGGGCTGGGCATCACCGACCCCGCTGTCGAAGGGAGCTACGCCTACCTCGCATCGGTGATTGGAGCTTCGCACCTCCTGCACTCTCTGACCGACACCCTACACCCCGCTGTAGCTGCCCTCCTCCCCCTAATGGACTCCCTCCCCGGGTCCGCTCACGCCTTACCCACGCGTCTCACAGCAGCCGAAGCAGCCCTCCCCCCAGAGGCACTGGAGGCCCTCCAGGCGGGGAAAGGGGACCCCAAAGGCCTCAAGCTGCAACAGTCGCTCGCGTTAGCTGTCCACAGGTGCCGCTTCCTGAGGGTTATGAACGAGGCAAGGCGGATGCGCCCCAATCCCCTCTCTGGTCACGCCCAGCGGATGCAGTCGGTGCTGGGCCCTGGAGCGGGGGACTGGCTGGTGGCGATTCCCCTCATCCCCCCGCTCCGGATGGGCCCCTCTCAGCTCTCTACCGCAGCTGCCTTCCGCCTAGGCCTCCCCCTACCCGTGCCTAGGCGCTGTGACTGCCGATACCGCACCACTTTCCCTGATGACCGCCTCCCCAACCACCTCATGCGCTGCGAGAAAGGGAGAGGGAGGATCGCTACTCACCACGCTCTTCGGGATGAGATAGCCAACATAGGGGCAGAGGCGGGCTTCACGGTGCACAAGGAATCCTACGTCTACCAGGAGAGGCTCAGGAGGCGTGCATTGGCAAGCACAAGATGTACCAGGAGAGGCCATCATGTGTGGGGTTCTTGGGGTTGGCGGTAGAGACCTACGGGGCATTAGCGGCAGACACAGTCAAATTCTTCCGCATCTTAGCCACTAATGCCGCCAAGAGGGGTTTCCGCCACGGCCCACAAACCACGGTAGCAGCAAGGCTTAATGCCCACTACCGCCAACGCTTCTCGGTGATGCTCCAGAGATGCCAGGCGACAGGGCTGCTCACCAAGTCCAACCAAGCGGCAGAAGCATCCTCACCGCTGGCACCATCAGACCCATGGGAGCCGCGGCTGGGTGACTTGTGGCAGGTGCTGGAAGACGGAGTAGGGGGCTAAGTGGTTTAAGGGGGGAAAGGGGAAAGGGGAAAGGGAAGGGTGAGTGCTAGGTGGGCATGATAGCTCTGGCCAGGGTAGTATAGCCAAGGCTGCTCTGCATGTTTTGCTCTGCTTAGCCCGCCTGCATGGCCATGACTGCCACGTTTACTGGCCCTAGCATGTCACCGCATGTCCTTATGTGCCCTCGCAGGTCTTTTGCATGTCCTTGCTTCGCATGTTTGGTAGCCTATCGACCATGATCGCTCATGCCATGCCTGTACCCTTATGAATCTATCAATGCAGGACTGCTTGCGAGAGAGATGGCATAGTTCGAGTCCTTAGCCGTTTTTAGGCCACTCTATCTAGGATCCAGTCCTTAGCCGTTTTTAGAGTAGTTTTCCTAGTATAAAGTCCCTAGATCTAGCCCTATGAGCTCATTCTTCAATTGGTGAGTTCTCTCCACTCTCCAAAACCCGCGGCTCGCGGCCGCCACTCGCCGGCGCGGTCTTCGGCCACGCGTGAGGGGTGGCAAAGAAAAGGGACGACAAGAATTATAACAGCAAGTGATACAACATGCAGTGGTAGAAACCTACAGCAACAACAACACCCCCAGGCGTGCCAACACCGCCATGGGGAAGCCCAAGGCCAAGCCCGCCACCAAGG